CATTTAACAATAATATCTCAATGTCATATTTTACTTATATCACATAGTGTCACTATGTATGAACTAGTCAAACATGGACTGGAATGGTGCCTCTATAATTTTGAACTGCTATAAACTATTGCACTTGTGAAAATGGAAAGAAAATATTCAGTCATAAACTGTTTGACACTTCAATGTACAAAAAATAATCTGCAAAACATACATAAAATGAACTCAATCTTACCTAAAACAAACATTGCACAATAGAGTCGACTGCTATAATTCAGCCATGTGTCTAATTCAGCCAAAATACTTCAACAAAACTCTGAATACTAACACGCTGTCTGGTTCTCTTTTGCTGTTTCACAAATCTTTTCGGCAATGACGAGAACGCCTACTGAAACATGCCAACCTAAATGTTGGCGGTACATGAAACACTTACAACACCTCGGCTTTTGTTGGAATAATTATGTTATCAAAGGCTTATCATATGTTTGTCACAACAGGCAAACTTTTGTAAAAATATCCATTGCTGGATTTCAAAACATATTGTTTTCTCAAGATCGACATTCACCTCCTACCATTTCCCTCAAAACAGAAATTTCCACAGGCACCTTTAAAGGTGTCATACCTTGTATTTGTGAATCTAAACCATGTTAGTTCAAGTTTTCAGACTGTGTAAACTCCACAATTTTTCTTGGCCACTGTTTAAAAAGCAAATCAATACTGTACACAAAATCACTAAGATAGACTGTTTTTTTTTTTTAAGACCCATCAGGGCAAAGAAGATTTAAGATCCAGTTTAGATATGAATTATGCTCTTATAGCACCATTTGAGAAACATGTCTCATCTACTGATGAATCATTGCTGATTAAAGTGTAGTTAAAGAATCAGCTCAACGTATCACCTCAGTAACTTTGCAACAGGTCATCCCTCTTTCTCATGCTTTCTTTTTCTTCCCCTGTGATGACAGACAAAAAAAAAATCTCTCACGGAGTGAAGAGTAACCTTAAGAGAGTAGATCATAACTCCCAGTCAGAGCAGAAGGCAGTCAATAAATAACTTAACAGCGTGTAACAAAAAGATGGAGAAATGTTGAAGGAGATGTGTATATGTACATTTGTAGAAGCATCAGTCTGTGTATTCTACTTTTTTTTTAACACTTTGACAAGAGTGTGTTGTCAAACATAACTCATGCGTCAGCTTTTCAGTGGCAGGTAGCTGTCAGACCTTCTTCCAACGGATTCTAGCAGAGCAGTAACTAACTATATATAAACATTTGTTTACGCCTGTCAGGATGTAATGTGACTAATACTTTTTATTTAAGATTTCTACTACTTGTATGTTCTTTCACTCAATACCCAAACTTCCTCTATATTTAAAAATATCCTTCAGAGTGAATAAAAACAGTAGGCCAGATTATAGAAGGATCCAACAGCGATGATCTGCTCTCCACCACCTGTGTTGCAGCCACACATCTTGTTGCTGGGACTCTGTATATTATAATATGACCAGCATGTGGCTTCTAGCTGTAATAAAAAAAGATGCTCTTGCAGCTCAAGAATGCATAATTGAGTTTGTGCAGAGCGCTGATGAGTGCGGCCATTTACATCCAAGGCAGGTGGGTGCAGACACTAAAACGTGTCTCTCAAGTCTCAATTCGGTCCCTTTGAATTCCACTTTAGATCACGGAAATGATACGGATCTGCCGCACTCGTAAAATGTGGAACGATCAGGGCTGATAGGGATCTAGAGGTTTAGTAGTGACGAGATGAAATTGTCTCTAGTGAGAATTCTGCAATTGTGAGATATCAGACTAAGATTAGATTAAATTAAACACTCAGGGCTGAAAATGGTATTAATATGGTTTTGCAGGACATTTTTCTCCTGAGCTTAGCCAGAATGAGCAGCCGAAGCAGCTTTAGGGTTATCTGAAAAGTGCATTGGTAGTAAGTCAATCCATTACATGTATTGCTATAAAATATGTAGATTTAGATAAATATAATGCAATGGATATAAGAGATCTGCACAGATTAAATTTAAAACTATATAAAATAATCAGTGTTACTCTAAAATTACAGTAGAGCAAATTGACATTGTTACCTTTAAAAAGAAAATAAAAAACAAATAAAGAAATATAGCTCCTGACTTAAAAAAAAAAAATCAAACAAAGCTGTGTGTTTTTAATACTGTTCAAGGCCTACAGCAGAAAAATGAGACGTAATTTCACTGTTTGAAATGGGCAAGTTTAATTTTGAAGCCCGAGCGAACCAATAAGCTGAGAAAATGGCAAATAGAAAAGAGCAAATTGCATTCCTCTGTAAAAAAAAAAAAAAGTGAAAAAAAAAAAGACTTAAGGAACATATAAAAGTAATCTCCAGCTGGAAATTAGAAATCAACCCTCAGAAACTGAATAACAGAAAAGAAATATTACTGTCCACTTTCTAAATCAATATAACATCGCTACGAGACAGTATTGCCATGGCAACACTGGTAAAGAATGAAGCAATTCTTATTATTTCAAAATAAATATCGGAGCCTGAAGCCCGACTTTTATTACAGCGGCCGACAGATTGCCAAGCCTGTATTCAGCTGAAGCATTGCTTTTCAATCACATGTGTTATGAATGTAGAAATTCCAGTGGACAGGATGATAACGGGATCTTAAATTAACCCACAAAGGTGACCAGAAACTTATCAGCAGCTGGAGGATTTTCCTTTTTGCTCCCTTCTCTAAGGGGAAATAAACTGTGGTTCTGTTAATATTCAGCAAAAATACGCCTCCAGCGTGCACGCACTTTCTTCTCTCACAGTTAAAGGAGAAAATGGCTGAGTTGCTTTTTTTTTTTTCTCCTTTCAAATTAGAGGCAAATTGGAGCCTGATATCACAGGGTGAAGTAAAATGTTGACACAGAATTTTTTGGAACATGTGTTGCTATTCATTATCGACTATGGCCCGCATATTAGGTCATTTCAAAGAGCAGTGCCTGTTTTCGTTCTACAGTCATCCGTAGTGCTCTCAGTTCTCTCCAGAATTGTTTAAATTATAAGTTCATACTTTAATTACCCTTTAAAAGAGCAAGCAGTTTGCATGCAAAGGGTGCCATAAACGACATTCAAAATGTCAAAAACTTCCCTAGCTTACGAAGCAGCACATTGGCTCTATATAAGTTTGTGTGAAACTGATGCATGTCTGCAGTTTTCAGTTCATGTATTGAGTTCTTTTTGTCTTGGCCAGCAATAAACTATCAACCCAAATTCCTCTAAAACTGTCCCACAAAGTTGAATTTCTAGTAATGGCCTCTGCAGCTCAAATTGTTGCAGATTGTGCTAAGTTTAAAACCAGACAAGCAGCATTAATACACTGAAGCGGCCTAAAATCGCAGTTTTGAATACACCAGTAGAATACCCCGCGAACTCTCTCCTGAAAACTACTGAAACTGGAATTGAAAAGTTGCTTGTGTAAACACAAACCGGTGTACGAGAAAATCAAGAAGCGCGGAGCCATCGCACACCTGTGTGGCCACCCAAAAACACCAACTCACGCCCTCCTCGCTGCACATGTGTATTTGTGCAGGCACTTAGAGGATACATTAGACAAGAAGGTTGAATTGACAACCCTACAACTTTAGAGCCAATAAATGCTAAGAGGGCACCACAGTGAAAGAGACCAGGGCCAACCTGCTGTGTTGACAACCTGGCCAAAAAGAGAAAATATGCTCAAGCCCTGGGTTGTACCCAGCAAATAAAGGGTGAAGCTTTTAGGCAATGAGCAGCAGGTGATCTCAGCTTTTCTGCAAGTCCTAATGCTCCTAAAAGCCTCTCTCCCTGCTTCTGTAATTGGGCATCAGTAGTTAATGTAGTATTGACTGCATTACATGCTCCTGTGCATCCTTTCCCCACTAATGCCATTTGCATCACCTTGTACATTTACCATATTGCTTAGCCAATAACTGCTAAAAGCAATCCGAATCGTGAATCATATGGGGAACTTTTAGCAAGATGGACATCCGAAGAAGGGGCCAATTTACAGTTGAGTTAATTTGAGTACATTAGCACAACATAGCCTGAGCCAGACGGACCAATTTATGTCTGCACCGCAATCCTTTTATTGGTTCTCAGATGTGTAAGTGTAAGGATGAAGCGCTAAGACAAATGAAATATCCATTTTCAATCATAAATAATGTGTTCCAAATGCATCCACTACTTTCATATGAGGCGGATAAACTTCAGTGTGCAGCAGAAATATACTGAGATGTGGTATATGGTCCATGAAGGCTGTGACTGTGTATACCAGCAGGTGGTCCATATTCACTCAATCCCTCTAAAGAGGTGCAGAATAAAGAGAGTCCGACCCCCCCCCCCCCCCCTTTCAGAACACATAAAAACCTTCAGTGAGGCTGCTGTGGATATCATGCTGAATAAATGAAAGTGCATCTGAGCATTTCATCCAAAATGGGACGTCATTAGAGGCAAGTTTGATTCAAATTAAAATTAATTAGACTGCCTCACCCATTAACCTGAATACATTGAAATAGATAAGTAATGCAAGAAGGCCTATTTCGATGGGAAGTGAGCGAACGTCGCACGGCGCTATCCATAATTTGCAATCAAGTTAAAAGCACTCCGCTGTCATCTCCCATCCCGTGTGATGTCAAAGGCTGCCTCGCCAACTTCACAGACGCGAAAAGCACTTAAGAGAGGGGAGCAAAGAGGAGAGGAGAGTGCGTGGAGTGGCGCACACTGCCCTAAAAAAGACGTGACACAACAAATGTGGTCTGAAATAAACACGCGACTCCTCCAAACTGAGCGGCGGTTCGGAGGCGGCGGTGCGTTCGTGGAACTTTCGTGGAGAAACGTTTCCCTGCCCGGGCAAATAAAAGCCCCGGAGCCCGTCGCGATTGAACGAGGTCGAGACCCGGGGAAGACTTCAAAGGCGTGAAAAATGTCAGTAGTTTCCCCCGTCACCCCCCGGGTTGTTGTCATTACTATTGCATCCCGCTGCCGAGGATGTTACTCACCCTCCTCCTTGTCCAACACCATCGTCCTGAGGAACGAGGAGTCCTTCCCCGGGCGATCCGTCCTCGGCTCCAGCAGGCTGCACCGCTCCGTCTGCTCTCCGCTTCTCCTGGAAATGGCTTTGAAACGCGCGGCTGACTCTACCAGACTACGCCTCGCTAAACCCCCCTCCCAAAAAACATGAAAAAAGAAAAAAAAAAAAAAAAAAAAGGGTGTAGAAAAAGAAAGGAGCGAGAAAACCTGGAAAGACGGATCGCTTTCTGCACCTCCTGTCAATAATAATAATTCGCACACGGAATGCGGCGATTAGCACGACGAGAACCCCCTATTTCGGGCTGAACTGTAACGCAAATAAACACCGCTTCGGTTGCCCTTGATAAATTCCATGCGAAGGTAAGAAAAAAATGGCAAAAAAGAAAAAACGAAAAGCGAGATAAATTTAGAGTAGAATATATCTGCGTAAAAAGAGTGCACATACGCGGACGTATCACACGCTCGGACTGAGAGCCAGCTGAGCTCTCTCCTCTCGGTGTTAATGCTCTCCTTTTCGTCTTCTCATTTGCTCCGAAGCGGCAACTATATATTCAAACAAATCCAATTGCGAATCTGACAACTGCTAAAAGCAAACTCGCGCCGCCTCTCTCCCAGTTTGTGTGCCGCGCTCTCGCCTCTCTGCCGCTGAATAAATGCGCGCAGTTTCCAGAGACCCTCGGATTCCCCTGTTAATTAAATCAATTCATTATGCTCAGATCTGATTAGCAGCCCTTCCCCCCCTCTTTGAATCAATTATTCAATACACAAACATAATTGCTTGTGCCAGAGGTGTCTAAGTATTAGCTTATTTAACTCCAAGGACACTAATTACCCCTAGGGCAAGGGAACTTTTCTCATTAATTCTGACAAAACACAAAAGCACAGCTAAGGGAAAGTGAGTGCGTGCACGGGCGCGCGCATGCCTGCCAGTCTGGACGACGCGCGTGACGGAAAGGGAGAGAGCACGCGCACGTGCGTGCGGAGGGGTTGTTGATGTGTGCGTTAGTGTCGGCAGACAGAGAGAGAGAGGAAGAGAGAGAGTGATGCTGCTCCATCCTGGTAGACTTTTGAGTCAACACAAAATGCGCTTATTGTTTTCCTCTCCGACTTCTACTTTCCTCCGCAGATTTGAAACCGTCTAATTGCGGTCTGTTTAGCCGCTAATTAGCGTCCAGACGCACTTATCATACATACATCATACACGCAGCCGTTTCAAAGCGAGGCGAGCACAACAGATGGGCCGCGTTTTTGATTAGTGGCTCGATAGAAGGGCTCAGTTTCGAATCTGGTAATATAATTGTTGCCCGTTATTGCCAAGATGAAAGTGTTGCTGTTTCGTGGCGGAGCCTTAAATAGCACCACTTTCACTTGCCCTGCGGAGACTGTTAACCAATTAAGGGTGAGATCCAACAAAGATTAGCCATTTAGGAGAGTGGAGCGGAGTGGAGCTACAAAAACGCTGGTTTGTCAGCGGCCAGCAGGCTGCCTGTCTGTGGTGTGAGCCTGCTCAGTCTGTCCTTGCCTTCTGTCACGTTTTGCACCAGTTATTCCATTGTTTCAGTGCATTATCAGTACTCCATCTCTACAAGTGAACGTTTCTGCCACGTGTATAGTGATTTACCCTCTTACAGAGTTCTTGCGTCCTCTTTCTTTTGTTACTCATATGCATCAGATAATGAAATGCATTTTCATACTGGGCAAAGAGCCCTGTGATGGGGAGCTGTGCAAAGTGTACCCTGTCTCTTGTCCAATGGCTGCTAGAGATACGCACCAGATCCAAACCAACCTATGTCGATGTGAAAAAAGTAATGATCCCCTAAGCCTAACAACTGATTGCACCACCCTTGATGGCAACAACTGCCATCAGGCATTTGAAATAACCACAAATGCGTCTACATTTGATGCTTCTTGAGCATATCAATTAGATTTAAGTTAAAACCTTGAAGTCAATCTTGAAACTTCAATTTCTTTTACTGAGTCAGTCATGGATGGATCTGCATATGTACTTCAGATCATTGGCCTACTGCATAACCAAGTGTGTTTGAGCATCACACGACCGCCACGACACTTGACTCTAACTGTGATGTTCTTTCTCTTGAATGTTTTAGTAGAACTTTCAACACAATGTTTTCTTTAAGGTTTGGTCAATCATCAAAATGTTCTTTGGCAAATCTGAGAAGGGTTTTTGTACTTTTGAACAGCATTGCTTTGTCCTTGAAACTCATCCATTTATGTGTTTTGTTTTATTTTAATACTTTTTTTTAAAATAAACTTTCATCACATTCATCCCAAAACAAATCATCTAATTCCACCAAAAGAAATTGTTGCAAGACATTTTTTTTCTTCTGCAAGCTCTAAAAGTGTTTTAGTTATGGGAAGCTAATTTAAATTTTCAAATAAAATAACATATCTCTGTCAATTTTATAAAGCTGGTGCGACTGATCACATGACCAAACTTCTTTACTTCCTGCCTGCTCTTCGGGAGGTAAATGTCTGTCTCAAACTTGCACAAGAGAAAGTTGGTAAAATATGCAAATATAGCAAAAATATTTTATGACAGTGTTCCTTAAGTGACTTTCTACTGATACATAATGAAATTTTTTTATCCCTGCATAGATCTTTTAATCACAAGCAGAGTAAATATGGCAACAATTGTTGCTGCTCGCACACTACATAAACAGCACTATGTTAGGTGTTATTTTGCCTGTCTTGTTTTGTCAACACCGTTTAAAACTATCAGATGTTTCAGATCTTCGAAGAACCTCATAATGAGAAATATCGTTCTAATCTGTATATGAGATGTGCAATTTTTTCACACCAATGTGTTGTGAATCTCAAGCCACTGTGTTAAAAGTACGCCATCGTTGTCCTTCTCCACTTCCTCCTCTTCTTCTGAGACAAAGTCCTGTGCTTGTCATCAACTGAAACTCTGGCCAACCACATCAATCAGAAGAGTTACTCCCTCGAACTGACAAACACAAAACAGAGAGTGAGCACAATTTTGAGAGAGAGCATACAGATGGGGCAAAGGAGCATATTTTACCACTCGCTGTGCAACATTCATGGGCCCACAAGTGGGTGGAAATGTAGCCTTGATCAGAGCTATGTGATCTCTCAATTAATATTAACACTGTCGTTGTGATTGCTTTACATGATGGCAGGAATGTGCCTCCATACAAACTGATTTTAACCAAGGCAAGCTAGGCATTCAGTATTTTAGATGATGACATGGAGTTTTTTGTAACCAGGAAAAGTCCACTGATTTGCTCTCAGAGTAAATTTGGTAAACTTGTCACTCCTGAAAGTGAAACAAGTTTGTCCATGTTTTCTCCATTGGTGTGTAGAAGCTCTCTCTCTAGATTATTGAAGCCCCAAAGACTTAGAAATATATATTTTTTAATCTTGCAGACAAACCAATCTCAAAGACATGGTTTCCTATCAGGTGTTGAATTTACTTGGTTTTGCATGAAGAAATTCCTCTTGCGATCTGTTAGTCCTTTTTGTGTCAACATATCATGCTTAAATTAGATTTTTTACATTGTTTCAATAAAACAATGTAAAGTGTAGCAATGGGGCTTGCCTTACCCTTTCACACGGCACTAGGTTGGTTTCAATAGCTTTTTTCCCCCTAAAATCTGAAAATTCTATTTTTAGAGCAAAGATGACCTTTGTTTCATATTAAAATAGTTAGATGTTTGAAAGATTTTGGTCAGACAAATAACGCAAAATAGAAAAAAAAAATATTAATAGGGGACAGTCTTATTTACAGTGCTGTATGATGCAGAAAGCTTCTGCAACTCTACCTGCACAACCTAAGACATTTCAGTCTAAATTAAGGATGAAAATTCAAAAAAGCAAAAACAAAAAAAGTTATTTTTTTTCAAATCTTCCTGCAATTTAGTTTCAGCAGTTTGACCTGCTGTGTAAAGTGCATATACTTAGTCATTTGATAATAATCCCAAATTAACATTTTGTGTGCCCTATTCTACAAATCTAAGACACAAAGCCTCTTGTACCATGCCCATAGGGATAATTTCAGTTCTCAAGGCAGCAAGCTGTGGTAAGATTGGTTTGGCCCTGAAATCAATGGTCTGATCCCTCTCTGTACCGCTTTCTGGCTGACACGCTTGACTTTTCATCTCCACGGTCGCATAGATTGATGACTTATGACCGAGAATGTATGTCTGCTGACCTATAGCGTTGAGTGAGTGACACATAATTAATCCAATCACACAGAAAACTGGAAAAAGTAAAGGGAACAATGGTTCAGTGTCATCAGGGCTTGGCTTCAAATAACCATTTAACATTTGAAAGTGGAGACCATTCAGTGTACTGCTTCAACTATTATTATAAGAGCACATGAACAGGTTTCACAGGGTCCCTTATTAAAGTAGTTCTCATCAATACAAATTACCCATGTGTTAAGTCACAATAAGTTGTGCTTTTGCGGGTTACGCCTAAGCTCCTTGCCGTGTCTTAGGGTGCTCCCCCTCTCTTCCCCTACATCCAACACCTGGGTCAGTGGATACCAGCAACAAGCCCTGAGCGGGCTCCTCTGATGCACAGTTAATTAGAATTCATTTCTGAGCATGCATTAGCCATGCCTGTCTATTTATGGGCTGCTCTCAAATGCAACCACTACAAAACAGTGCACTGTAATTAACCCCAACTAATCAGATAGCGCACTTGTGTTGTGTTCCCATTCGTCCTCAGGCACACAACCATTGGACAGAGGTTCCAGAGAGAGGATGAGCCCATTCTATAGTTCAGAATGGCTAAGCAGATTAAAACCTCATATCAAACATGATATTTACAAGCAAAGCTCAGTGGAGAGTGCTCCTTTTATGTGGAATAGGGAGAGGCTTCAGGGCTGGGCTTTTAAAGCCATGTCCCTTAATTGTATTCTGGCTAAGTGGGATGAATCGTGCTTTTTAATCAGACTACTGACGTGGTTGTGGTTTGTAAAAGTATAGAGATTGTGTCTGACAGTCAAGAAGCTGAATGATATGCTTTTAATACAAGTCTCTGTGTTCAAATGCTTGCTGACACCTGTAAGCATCTATTTTGTGCTTCTGCTATTACAAGAAGTCATTTTTTACAAAGCATTTATTAAATGTATACCAAAAAATGCATTGGTAAAAGAGGGGTACTTAGTTGTTTGTTATTTTAGACCAGGGCTGTCAAACTCTAGTCCTCAAAGGCCGCTGTCCTGCAGTTTTTAGATGTGCCACCACAGCTACAACACACTGGAATGAAATGGCATAATTACCTCCTTCTTGTGTAAGTTCTCCAGAGACTTGCTAATGACCTAATTATTCTATTCAGGTGTGGTGGAGCAGAGGCACGTCTAACAGTTGCAGGACACTGGCTCTCCAGGACTGGAGTTTGACACCTGTGTTTTAGAGTGTAAGCTTAGAGATACATGAAGAAGTTTCATGTAGGAATGAGACCTGATGCACTTTGTTACACTGAGAGCTTTGCTCCTCCTAGTGGCTGATCTTGACTATATTTCCCCCTCACAGCTGTACATAAATACCTTTGATAGAAGGGATTTACCACATAATATAATAAATTGTAACCACTTTTCCTTCTCCTCTTCATGGAGCTGCTCACGTGTTGGGTGGAAAATAAGAATCACTGCAATCTTTTTGATGTAACCTGACAGGCTCACCATAT